TAGAATAATGAATATGAGAATCCCCGTCTGACAAGGGAATTAATGTTTGAGACAGACTGTGGAAAACTACTGCATCACTACTATATGAGTCACCTTCATAGTATCTCGAAACATCAGGTTATCAGATTTCTGTTGGATTTTGAGAGATTCTGAGCCACGGATCAACAGGATTGTGTCCTGAGAAAAGACAAGAGAATAAATACGCCACGATGGCTGACAGATAACATAAGAGCAAAATGAATGTAAAAACATCCCCTTTGATTTACACTCAGTCACTCATAGAATCTACTTAATAGAATTAAAGGACAAAAGAAAGTGATACAAGAAAGATAACTGGAAAAAAATTGTTACCTGAATCTGCCTGTAGAGGTCTCCATTTACTTAGTAACTGCTGAACCACAAGTTTGAGGGATAAAGCTCTTTCTCATGCAATTATACAAGCAGATGTTTACATCAGCAGCCTAATATTGTGACCTTTTTTGTTACATTGACTTTATTTTATTTTTTTCAGGAATTATTAATGTGGGTTAATTAACAGGGATCTCTGAGTAGGTGCATACCACCTTATGAAACTGATAGCACTATTATGGTTAGTAATTCAAGGAGGACTCATCTCATTCCAGCATCTCAGGTTGCAGTACAAAAAGAGTGCTGCTGGGAGAAATATGTAATTGTGGAAAAAAGATGGATTTGTAACATTTGTGGATAGGACATTCTAATGCTTTATTAGGTTAACATGTTCTTGGGTATGGATTTGTGTACACATTTGTGACCACATAGCCTACGTCATTTGCTAGAATATAGAACATATGACCTGAATAACTGACTGGAAAATATCATGTATGCAAAAACAACCCAAGTGAACAGCCTAGGCGCTCCACAGCATCATAAAAGCACCAAATGACAGAATGTTTCCAAGAATCTATGTAAAGGTGAACTTCTAGAGACTCATCTCGTGGTGGGTTTTTTCTTATTACATCTACATGCAGAATGAATGAATTTAAAGATTTTCCTTTGCCAGGAGATTCCTGTTTAACTCAGGAGTATCCATATTCTAAGGAGCACAATAAAGCTCCTCCGTGACCCCTTGACTTTCTCTAATACAGCAAATTTCATCTATGTTCAGACAAAAGTTTGGGAAAAGTTTCTTTCAGTCCTTATCGTGTAGCCTATGGGCCTGAGCTCTCTGTACTGAAAGTTCCAGAGCATTCACTGCACCGAGCTATAATAGACCAGTCTATCATCCTCAGTGAAAGCTCTCTGCAGTCTGACCTGAATACCTGTCTGGATCGACACCCTGGCACAGCAAGATAGCTGTGTCCCCTGTCAGAACACCATTAATGAGACACTGAGTCGTCCCTCAAATTTCTGTTATCTGCAGGGCAGGAAGCACGCTTTTAATTTCTAAAGGCCACATTAACTAGTAAAAACACTAAATTCATATTCTGCTCTTACTATTTTACAAGCTCAACCAGACTTATCATACTGTAGATAATGGTTCCCTGCAGGAAAAGTTGAGTTACCACAGTGTGTTTGTTTGTGGTGACTTCAGTAGTGTTAACAGTCCACACCTGGTATTGGCATACTTGATGATTTGAGATGATGTCATTGTGCTGTGCCAGGTTGGCAACAGAACCAGTGCATGAATGTTACAACTGTCAAATCCATTTTCTATGAGACATAACAGAATTGGTATCATGGCATGAAAATTTATACCCAATCAGACGAGCAGTTCAAATTTTTAACAAGGCTGAAGTAGTTTATATTTCTTCGCAACCCTCCCCGCCATAATAAATAATTTAAAATATTTTGAATTTAAATCCAAATCTTACAGCCTGACTGAAACAATCCAGCTGAATCCCCTAAGATTTCAGCTGAAATGTCAACCTCTTCGGCAGAATATCTAATATGGCCTTCACGGATGGCTTTTATCTGGAAAGCAGAT